TGTAAATACATCTTTTAAGTGATAAAATTATTAATAAAAAAATGACAGTTTTATCAACGCTTAAATTATGACTGTTTTAGTTTACTAATATTTTTATTATTATACAATTAATTTTATTCTTTTTTATTTAGGAGTGCTCTGAAATACAAGTAATTTAATTAATTTTATAAAAATATTTTTTGAAAAATTTTATAACAAAATATGTATAATTATTTTTACAGCTAATCAACGTTTTTTTTAACTAACGAAATTTTTTGTTAAATGACTTTTATAATTATTATTTATAATAGTATAGAATATTTTTACTGAGGACTTCTATAAATTAATTCAATTTTTGTAAGATAATTTTGCAATTTTTTTTATTTAGATGGAAGAAAAAGAGTTAGAGGGTGAAGAGACAGAAGAAAATAATCATAAATTTATTTTAGACGCACAGCCATCTAAAGAAGTTATAATTTTTGCAGTAGATGATGATGGAAATTTAGTCTCTGTCGATGATAATAGAATGGATACTGATTATAACAGTCAGGATGAAGAACAAGCAAGCTCGCAAGTTCAGATTTTGTCTGAGAATGAACTTGAAAAACAAGAAATTCTAAAAGTCCCAAGTTCATCCGACAATCCTGACCCCTCCAATAAAACATCATCACCTAGTGCAAAAACAACATCTCCGAATGTTCCTTCTCCTTTTAAGCGAGCTTTGTTTTGGCCTTTGAAAGATAAAGATTTGAAGAAACGAAAAGCTAAGGAAAAGGTACCGACAGTTTATACATCTGATTCGTGGTTAAAATATCATGACGACAAAGAAGCAAAGAAACGAAAATTAGAAGAAGAAAAAGAATTGTAAAAAGCTGAAAAGTCCAAAAATAAAGCCATCAAGGAGGCAGAAAAAATAATTAAAAAAGAAAAACTTGAAGAAAAAAAGAAACAAAAAGCTCTTAAAATAAAAAAAAGTCCAAGTAATTTAAATAATTAATTTTAATTTTTTTGTTTGTGTAATATGTTATAACAAGACTTGAACTATTTATACGTTAAATTTTAACAAACTGTATATTTTTAGAATAAATATTTAATTTATTTATTTTAATAATAATTTCAGTTTATTTAAAATTAGTAAGCACTTCATAACCTAACCATGATTAAATTTGAGGGTCAGAAATTGGGCTACGGTCAGGGTCAGAAACTGCCACACGAAGAATTCTGAGGGTCAGAAACTGGAGCTCTTAATGTCAATTTTTAAAACGTCAATTTAAAATATAAATTTAGTTCAAATAATTTTTTTATGCACATTACTTTATTTTAAAAATCCTAAACTAATAGATAAAATTATAATTTTCTTCATTAAGTTAAGTTTTATATTAATTATTATAGTTTAACCTCCACCGTCACTCTAAAAAGGTCAGAAACTGGGCCCCTTACCTTATGTAATATCTTTGAAAATATATATTTTGTATTTTGTATGATTTGTTCTTATTTCCAATATTGAAAATTATTTAGGCTTTTAGGGCTGTATACAATACGTACAAATTTAGAAATAATACCAGGGGTTAATTTAAATAATATACATGTGCTGCCATATATTTTTAAAAATTTGTATTTCAATCGAGGTAACGCCAAATCGTCAGACATAGCGATCTATTTATACTTGTTTATCTATGACTTAGAACTGTACGTAAGCAAAGAGTTTTGAAAATTAGTTGTTATTTTGTGTATATAAATGGTATTGATTACGGTTATATAATTTGATGATGTGTTTAACGCGCGATTGTAGAGGCGGTTTGCGAAATGTGTTGACACGAAAATGAAAAATCCCGTGGTTCTAGTGATTATTAGAGATTTAATTTGTTGATGTCGAAGGACGAACGTTTATCAATTTTGCGCGACGATCAGCCAAGCCGTTTCTTTGTGAATAGCAGAAAAGTGAAAATTTTTTTGTTAACGTTTCAGCCCGCAGTGTTGAATCGATTTTAAAAATTTAAAAACCGTTCGAAAGATATTAGTTATTATCGTGCTGATGAGTTTTTGGTAGAGATTGGCCGGGCCGTTTTCTTGTAATAAAGTGTTAAAAAAAATATTTCGACGATTGTTATTATTATTTTTTTGACGGTAGATACCATAGTTTTTCAAATCATACTTAAATATTACGGCCCTACGACAACTCGTTTAGCTTTAAAAATTCTTCAAAGTTTTCAAAAATTAGTATCGTTTTTTTGGCATTTGTCAAAATTAAACATTTCATCGACGTTTGCTCAAAACCGCCTGAACCGATTTCTGAAATTTAAAAACCATTTGTTGTATCTCGATGAGGATTATTGTTTGACAGTTTTGACAGACGGTCTGCCGAGCTGTTTCTTTGTAATTTGGAAAAAAGTTTTAAACTTTTTGACGACATTTAAGCTCATTCTACCGAATCGATTTAAAAAAATCTAAAAATGTTCGAAAGATATTTGTTGGGAGTGATACTGATTATTTTAGGTGAAAATCTACCGAGCCTTTTTCTTGTAATTAACAGTTGAAAAAAAATTATGCTGATTTTTATGAAACTTTTTTGGCAATATATATATAATGGTCTTATAGACCTTACTGAAATATGATGCTATAAGTAGTTTAACTTTAAAAATTCATCAAAGTTAGAGAAAATGAGTAGTTTTTTCGATGTTTGTTAAAATTAAAATTAGACGATTTACTTGGTATAATGATAGAGTACTTGGTTTTAATAAACATACAAAACCGTTAAAATCCTACGGAAACTGGTTCAATTATAAAAATTCCTGATTTGTGAACATTTGCTTTTAGAAAATACTCCGAGCTAACGCGTTCGTTCGTTTTCAATGATGTGTAATAAATCCACACGGAATACTTTTAATCACTCATAAATTAATTTATCTTTTATCGATTAAGTCGATTATTTACACATATCGGGAAGTTCATGTAACTTGCCTCAAGGCAAAATACCAATACCAAATAGTTATTTTCGGTTTTAGGAAAGGCTTTTGTTCGTCCAATTTAGATAGGTTTAATTAGATAGGTTTAATTTATATAGATTTTAAGTTAGAATTAGTGAAACCGGATTACATATTAATTTTGTGTTATATATGTTACGGTAAAAGTGCATATTTCGGCAAATGTACACATTTCCCGGTAAATGTGCACATTTGCCGCCTAAATTGGAGAATGTGAGTTCAACTCACATTTTCCATTTGAAATCAAGTAAATGTGCATTGAACTCACATTTATCGTGCCCTTTTGGGAAATGTGAACATAAAAATATAAAATAGCTTATAGTGCGAATGCACGCTTGGAGTGGTTGCATGCGGGCTCGTATTTGGTACGTGCACACTAGTATATGGCGCACATCACGCGAATTCGGCGCTTGCGCACTCATGCCTGTGCGTGAAATACGGTAGGCAGTTAGGCACATACAAATACTTTACATTACAGATTTTGTGATATTATAAATTAATAAAGTTATAAATAAATTATATAAATTAATAAAAGTATAGCAGATGTATGAATATTATTTAAGGTATTTGGATAAATAAAAATCGTGTAAGTTAAAACGATCATATAGTTTTACACAGTGTGGAGAATTATGTATTTTATAATTATAAATAACATTAAATATTTTGAACTATGTTTAGTCATAAGTAAATTTATTTGAATGAAGTGTAATCCTAAGTAACGGTAAATGTTTCGAATATTTTGTACATCTGCAAGATGGCCCTTAATAAAAGTTTATGATAGCTCGCTTGGACCCTCGGCGAGCTATCATAAAACTAGAAATATTGATAAATATTTTAAAAATGTAAAATATAAATGTTAGTTAGTCCTGAACTATTGACCAAGTAACATCAAAAATATTTATAAAGTATAAAACAGAGCACAAATTAAATCAGTACATCAAAAGTAATTCTTTCATTTCAAACACTGTTGAAGAGCTATAAAGTGTTTCAGTTATCCAATATTAATCCAGAATTCGAGTAATAAAAAGTATTCAAATAATAAAAATTGGCAACATTGTAATTAATTTAGTAAATCCATTTACTAATGTCTCTTCGCATTTTATGTTACAGATTTTGTGCAAGTGCTATATTATAAATTAATAATATCCTATAGAAGATTTCTGGATGTTATTTAAGATACTTAGATAAATAAGACTGATGTAAGTTAAAATGATCCTACAGTTATATACAGATACAGTTTATTTTACGTTACAGATTTTATGCAAGTGCTATATTATAAATTAATAATATCATATAGAAGATTTTTGGATGTTATTTAAGATACTTGGAGAAATAAGACTCATGTAAGTTAAAATGATCCTACAGTTATATTCCGATACAGTTTATTTTACGTTACAGATTTTGTGCAAGTGCTATATTATAAATTAATAATATCATATAGAAGATTTCTGGATTTTATTTAAGATACTTATTCAAATAAGACTCACGTAAGTTTAAATGATCATAATTATAGATTTAAAATTTTAGTTTATTCTACAATGAAACTTTTTTTTTTTTAGTTAGAATTTGTGACAGACAATGGAACAAAAAGATAAATTTCTAAACTAACTAGAACGAATTGTATCACAAAAAAAAACAAAAATAATATTTATTTAAGCCAATATCAGTATCAAAAAGTATTATTGGAAGTGAAGGTAGCAAAATCCAAAATAAAGAATAAAAGTGATGTAGATTACCGCCGGCTGAAAAGGTACGACATAATAGTGGTGGGGAAAGAAGAAAAATTAATCAGTCCTTTAAAAGAATCGGGTGGCATAAAATATTTTGCGACAATTGAAGAAACATATGAAATTATACATGCAGCTCATTTAGCAACCGGCCATGGTGGCCGAAACAGATTATTGAAAGACATCAATAACAAATACAACAACATCACCACTGAAGCCATTATGCTGTATTTGTCTTTATGTGAAGGCTGCCAAAAAAAATCAAGGGGCATCAAAAAAAATTGTGATCAAACCAATTTTGATGAACGAAATGAATTCCAGATGTCAGGTAGATTTAATAGATTTACAGACATAGCCAGATTATGAATTTAAATTTATTTTGAATTATCAGCATCATTTAACGAAGTTTGTAGTATTGCGCCCACTAAAATCAAAAACTGCCTTAGAAGTAGCCAACCAGCTAATGGACATTTTCAGCCTTCTGGGAGCCCCATCCATTCTTCAATGTGACAATGGTAGGGAGTTTGCCAATAGAATTATTGAAGAGTTAGCAATTATGTGGGATGGTATGAAAATAATACATGGAAAACCTCGGCATTCCCAAAGCCAGGGTTCAGTAGAACGTGCAAATCAAGATGTGCAAGATATGCTCACGACCTGGCTTATCACTAACCAAACAACCAAATGGTCGGAAGGTTTGAAATATGTCCAGCTTATGAAAAATAGAGCATATCAAAAATCTCCCTATGAAGCTATGTTTGGATCGAAGATGAAATTGGGTTTGAAAACATCTAATTTGCCTAAAGATTCCATTCAAGAGGTCGAAACAGAAGAGGAATTGGAAACATTGATACAAGAAGTACACATAGCGAGTTCTTTACATAGCAGAGTCAGTGATACTTTAGATACAGAAGCTGAAGATGATAAAATTAAATATGAGAATAATGAAATTTTAGAGTTAGATTGCATATTAAGCGACCACAAAAAATTAATCGATGATGCTCGAAAAAAAGCTAGTGATAATTTAGAAAGCCAGGCACAAAAATGTGCAATTTTTCCAAAGATAAATTTCCTCCAGCTGTGATTGGTGACAACGTTCGGGTATCAATTCCTGACATTGATCGTGGCAAAACAGATCCGAAAAACTTAATATGCATTGTTTTATCAAAAGATAACAACATAGATTTGTACAAATTAGGAGCTGAGGAGGGAGTTTTAAAACAAGCTTATTCCAGAAATGAGTTCGTTGTTTGCGAACAACAGTTTTTATCATGGGAAGAAATTTCTCAAGATGTTCAGAAATCCCTTAGGGAAATTGTCGGACAGCAGTCTCTTACTGGTGGACAAGGATTTAAAAAATGCACATGCAAAGGAGGATGCAAATCAAGAAAATGAAGTTGCAGAAATGCTGCAATATTATGTAATTCTAAGTGCCATAATAGTAATACTTGCACAAATAAATGAACATCAATTTATAATTTTTGTATGATTTTTTTTTTGTTTATAAAACTTATATTAATTCTTTTAATGAAGAAAGTATGTTATTTTATTATTTGTCTGATTTCCAAACGATCTTGTCTGATTAATACAATAGTACTGGAAAACTAGAACAAAAATTTTATTTATAAATTTTATTATAACCTATTATTATTTTATTTTAACCAAATATTATTTACTTTCATAAAAAACTATTTTATATTTTGTTTAATTACTTTTATAATTTTTATTATAATCTAATAATATAAAATTCACGTTTTAATGAAAAAAGTTTGTTGTTTTATTATTTGTTGGATGTTGTATCGTATCGTTTTTCGGATTATTTTGGTTCTGAAAAACTAAAACGAGAATTTTATTTATGAATTTTATTAAAACCTATTATTATAGGTTTATTTTAACGAATTATTTATCATAACCAAATATTAATATAACATGTTTCATGTCATAACAAATTATTTTATCATAACCTAAATATTCTGTTTGTCATTTACATCTTTTAATTAAAATTATTTTTGTTATCAAAACCTTTTGCATTAAGTTTATTTCAACAAGTGATTTTTAACTGACAAATGCTTTAATTTGTTATTTGTGTTCCAACTTTTTTCAAAACAAATTTAAAAGTGTAAGTTATTATATTGTCTAGGGTGTACATTTGCCAAAACACAATGGGAACTGTACACTTTGACCGGGAAATGTACTTTCGCACTATATTCAGTTCAAATTTACCTAGCGTTTTGGAAAATGTGCAGATTCTCCGGTAAAAGTGCACATTCACCGTAACATATATATTAGCCTTAGTTATATTTTCGTATAAGTTTGTGAGATTTGTTTGTTATGAAAAATATAGATTATTTTTATAATGTAGATTAATTTTTATTTACTTTGTAGATTTATTTGATTTCATTTTGTGTAAAGTTTACAAAAATGAATTTGTTGACTGCCAAATTTGATTTGGGAACGCTTCAGAAGGCGACTGCTAAAACCATTTTAATTGTGGAAAATGATCATTTAGTAGATCACCACAATCGGAGCGGCTTGTATTTAGATTCGGTGTTTAAGCTTCTAGGTAATAATGTTTTCTGATATGCGTTTAAGCCGACCGAGGCATCTTTGGTGATTTTTATTAAATTCGCACTTAGCCAACCCGGACTAATTAATATCAGACGAGCCCATTGACGTTACGGTAGACTGCGATTCATTATGACTATAGAGAAAATAGGACAGAAATGTAAATGTAAATAGTAGATAGTTTGTTTTTATTGTTCGTTTTTATTTGAATAAGATTTTATTGCTGTTTTTGGAATAATCATTTTGTTTTTGTCATAATTGTTTAGTTTTCGTGTCACATGAAGTGTGAAGGGTTTCAATTGAAATTTATTTGTTAGTGTATCAGAGAAATAGATTCAGAAAAAGCGTAGAATAAGTATTAGTTTGAAATTGTTGGTTTCTTTTTTCTTTCATACAACCCGGTAATTTATTTTTGAAACATTCGTTAACACAGCCAGGATTCTGGTTACATGTGTTCGAAAACTATAGAAACCAGATTTTAGTGAGGTTAAATTTATAGAAAATAATTAGGATTAGAAAGGGAAATTCGTAATAATTAAATAGATACGACAAAATATAGATACATAAATGCGAAGCCGATACGGACTAAGTGAGACGAAACTATTATTCGTTAAAGGAGCGTTTACAAGACGCAAGGTGACGAGCGGCAAAGAGAAAAATGTCCCAATGGAAAAAGTAAATACATAGGTTGCAAGTTTTATGAGTGAGATAGTTTGCAAAGTAAAGTGAATAAAAATGGCGAGTTACAGAATAGTACGGTTGAATAATTGGACAATTTGCAGATTGTAATAATTTAAAATATTTGGTTGTGTTGGTTCACAAATATATATTTTTTTTTACTAAAAAAGAAGGATAAATGTATATGATTTCATTTTGTTGTTGATCTTTGTACTATACTTTCTATTTATTATACCTGCTTCTCTTTTTGTAGTAATTTATGAATTAGTTTTTACAACGCATGCGCGATCAGACGAATTAGATTAAAAATATATTTTTGTTAGAGATAGGTAAATGCGGTTTGATCATTAGAAACCTTATCCGTTTAATAATTTAGATAATAGTGTCATAAAAGAAGTTTACTTAAATGAAGAAAAAATGATAAAAAAAGAATTAATAGGAGTTTGAGTAAAGAATGTTATGAATAGTAAGAAGATAGGATGGATGAGATAGGACATGGATATGACGGATAAGATAGGGAATTATGTAGGATCGATAGTTGAAAAAATATATAAAGGATAAATAAATAGACATAATTTATAGATCGATTTTACAGCAAGTGCAGAGACATTAGTCTGCCCTCAGTATTTCATTTTCCACCATCAAAGAGCTCGGGGCGAATTGTGGAAAAATAGTTGTTTTGTTAATGAGAGATTTGAGGTTAAAATTAGATGTTCGCAGATTGTGAAACAATGCGCGAAAAGGGTTTAATGGATTAAAAAGTGATTTGGTTTGGTAAAAGATGTTTCTTTATACCCGAGGCCAGTACTTTTACCAAAATGTATTGCTGCTGATGCTAGGATTTTAAGCAGACATCCGCTCCCGATGCCTGCTTAAAAGCGTTGCGCCATCAGTAACGTCGCGCGAGGTTGTATGTATTGTTTTTGGTTTATCACTGATAGTAATTGCCTTCTGAAACTATAAGTGGAGTGACGTTGCACTACTTCATATATTTTTGGATAAGGTAGATGTTAAATGCAACTGGCATCTTTGACCTTAAGAAAACTGGGGTAACATTTTTGCTTAGGTTATGAATAAGAAGCGCCACTTGCTGTGTACGCGTAATAGATAGCTAATGATAGGAGTTTTAGAAAGAGTAGTCAGTCTGCTACTAACTAGTTTTATTTTACTTTTTTTGTTGTTTGGTGTAATCACGTATTGGTAAATTGTTTATGTTTTTGTTTCAATTAGTTGAAACTAGAAAATAGTACTAAGAACAGTTAGATTTACGTTACTTCTCAAAATTCAGGTTAGTTATGTGTTATCAAAAGTATTTTAATAGAGTTGGGACCGTCGAATTCATAACAGTCAACAGTTCTAGAAGTTTAAAATAATATGTAGAATATTTATAACTTATATCCAATTTGATATATATTGTATTTATTCTCAGTCTTACTCGTGCAATACTTTTTGTGTGTTTTCTGTTTTTATATTGTTATGTAAACATTGTTAGTGATAAATAAGTAATAAGGTTTAGGTTGATTAAGAAATATTGCGTTTGTTTTATACAAGTCTAATATTAATGTAAAATGTATATTTGTTGTAGTTATAATGTCATTGTCTTTACGTGTTGTTAATGTTGCCATTGTTAGAATAGTTTAAAAAGCCGTTAATTAGAATATTATGAGATAGTGTTGTGTTTTTTTGTTTTATATAAATGATAATGTTAAGTGTAGATATGTTCAGGTTAATTTTCTGAGTGTTTTTATATTATTTACCTTCATTACGTTTGATAATTTTAATTGTTGATGAGTTTGAATGTTTGTTTATTAAATTAGATAGGTTTAATTAACTATGTTTGATTTTGTTTTTATATTAAAATATATGTTATTAGTTATACAAGTGATAAGTTAAGAAAGTTAATGGATATTATAAAAGTAAAGTGGATTATTGTATTTTTTTGCAAGTTTTGGGACAAGCGCATTGAACATTTGATGTGACTCTTACTTTTGGTTAAAACTCTGAAGTGTTAGTGATAAGGATACCCCTAAAGTGTTGGCTTTTTGCAGCACAGCGATTCGTATGCTGGTGAGGTACGGAAATAGAGAACGACTTAATGGTAGATCATGCAAAGCAAGCAGATTGTGGACCAGACAGGTTGGAGGGCACCATTAGCATCATCTGGAGAAATCAAAGCGGGTTGCCGCAACAAGGATGAAGTTTTGAAAGATCGAAGGCTATCTTTATCTTCATATTTGAACAATTTTTTACCGCTTGATATTTTCTTTTTTTCTTCTTTTTCAGAATTCAAAATATTTCGATTACTTGATTTTATTTATTAAAATTCTATATATATACATATTTTTTTGTTTCTAAAACAAAATTTTGATGTAATAGTTGTCAAATTTTATATAAAATAATTTTAAACTCGTTTGGTACGTATAATTTTAATTCTGTTTTATTTTATTTTGTTACTTTATTTTATTACAGTTTTTGTATTTTAGCTGAATCATGAGCTAATATAATAGCTCTAAACGTTTTATATTTACGTTGTGTTTTTATTTTTTCGACTTGTTGCTGAAAAATCTTACCACAATATATATATATATATATATATATATATATATATATATATCATGCAAATAAAAGTCGCATACAGTTTTTTTTTCATTTAAGTCAAATTTTCAAGTTAATGAGTACCATCTCCACCAAAATTAAAAATAATCGTATTCCATCTAGAATTAACAAATTAAAAAGGTATAACCAATTTTTCATTATTATATCTCTGAAAAAAATAAACGATACGTATAAAAGTATATAGATAAAAATTCAATATCTTTTTCTAACTATTTATTGCTTTTATTTATTTTTCTGTTACACAGATATTGATAGATTTATGATTGTTTAAAGAGTGCGCGACTGCCCAACCAGAGGTCTTTCGAGCCCTTTAACCCTTCGCCGTTTCAAAATAAGAAAAGTTACGGTGAAATTTATGATAGAAAGAATTATAGCTCATTTAATAATTTTTAAAAAAATATATTACAAGTTCTGATAAAATCAGAATTAAAAGAGTTATAATCCAATTATTGCGGGGGTGGTGACGGAGTGCTAATTGTTTACACTTCTAAACTTAAAATTAAGATCAGCCTATTTTCAAAATATTAAGCAAATTG